AGAATAGCTTGACTCCCTCTTCTTTGTGGCAGCCCCTGAGATATTGGAACACTGCTATCATGTCCCCCCTCGTCCTTCTCTTCGTTAAACTAGACATACCCAATTCCAGCAACCGTTCCTTATATGTTTTAGCCTCCAGTCCCCTAATCATCTTTGTTGCTCTTCTCTGTACTCTTTCTAGAGTCTCAGCATCTTTTTTGATAAGTGATTGGTCCTAAGTTGAGGACTATCTTTATTAGTGACTATGCATCTTTTGTATGAATGTAATATAAATTCTGTTCACTGTCATCTGTAACTAGGAGAGTGGCATTCAGCATAAAAACATAGCATTATATGCCTAGTGCAGTTAGCTACTGTGAGACTTTGATTCCTGATAGACAAAGAATTACCAAGTTCCAAGGAAAAGGATTTAGCTTTTGGATATCAAGCCAGTCGCTGTTTAGGGGCAATTGATGTAGAAAGCATACAATACCATTCTGGACTTGTGCAATCTACTGGACTTGTGCAATCTAAGGTAACCCACATGCAGAATGGCTATATTTATTTCTTCATATTAATGGTGAAAGCTACCCCGAGTCACTCGACAGCGAGATGGGTGCCATATAAATTTAGTAAATAAAATTTGACGCAATGCAACAATTTAATGCAGTTCCTATGTTCTCTCCCCATCCTGTCCTACTGGGTCCCTGCAGGCCTTGGGCCAGCTTCCCACCCCACTGAGTCCCAAACCCTTCCACCCCATCACCATCACAGCACATTTACTTATTTTTTTCCATAGATCTCCTTTGGGAAGCAGCTGTGCAGCTTCCCTACACAGAGGGTGCATGGCGCCATCTGGAAAGCAGGCATCATTTTGGGAATGGCCATAATGAACTGTGGCCTGGTTGATGATGATGCATGGTTCTGGAGCACCTGTCTTCCTTTTCTGATCTCCTGAGCTCTGGAGATCTTAGAAAGGTAAGTGTGCAATTGTGATAGATGGGTGGAGAGGAGGCCCAAGCAGATATGGGGATCCCAAGGGATGTGGAACATAGCATGGGGTATCTCAGGGAGACCCAAGACCAAATGGGCTTGTGCTTGCAGTAGGCCTCCAGGATCTCTCCCACCCGAGGCACCCCATACTCCACTTAAAGACCTGTGTGTTCATTTAATAATTGCATAAGTTTGAGCAGGGATTGGGGGAAGGTCGTTAAGTGAAATGGTTAATTTAATGGCCATCTTGACTTCTGACCATAATGGGCAGGCTTCATTACAGTCACAACTCAAGGACTGCCTGTATAAATTCCAAAGTTTAATTATCCATTGTGTAAAGAAATATTTCCCTTTATCTGTCTTGATGCTACCAGAACTCAGTTTTCGTTGGGTTCTAGTATTATGGGATGGAGTAAATAGCTGCTGCTCCTTACTTTATTGCCATCATGCATAATTGTGCACGCACAAGGAAGCTGTTCTAGTCCCTTGATTAGCTTAGTTGCCCTCTGCTGAACCTTTTCTAGCTCCACTGTATCCTTTGTGAGGTGCAGTGACCAGAACTGTACAAAATATTCCAGAGGGTTGCATCATTGATTTATAAAAGGGCATTATGAGATTGGCATCTCTGTTTTCGATACCATGACTTATTCTCCCTAACATGCTATTGGCCTATTTTACATTGGATGCATACTGTGTTAAAACTTTCATTGAACTGTTTATCACTACTCAAAAATCTTGTCAGTTTACCCAGTCATCATTTTCAAAATGGAAATGTATGGATTTAGAGGGTGTTGAAGACTCCAGAAATTTCAATGCAAATTCAATAATTGGAGAATCATCACATGGCAATATAAATAACTTTCTGGTCAGTTATAGATCACAATTTCCCTTTAGCCAGAATAGTAAAACTGAAATATGAATTACTGCAGTTTTTTTGGGGGGGTTGGGGCAGGGAGGAGGCAAAATAAATCAGTACAAAAAGAAACTTTAAAAAAACAAAACAGAAATAACTTTTAAAATTTTATATAATGCGTATTTTATTTTATGTTTAATATGTTATTTTTAACATGTTAAGAAGCAAATCATACACCATTATATGTGCCAAAAATACTGCTGATAAATGTATCAAAACTTGTTTTTGTAAAATATTTTAAGTCTAAAATAAACATTTAGAAAATCCCTGGAATGAGTCGGTAAGGTACTGCATCAGTATATCTTTTCCAGTCTTTGCCATACTTGTGGGAGCATCGATGTTCATCTCTAATGCAGCGGTGGATCAGGAGAATAGTCATAAAAATTATGTAGAAATAAGGAAGAATATGATTAAAACCACAACACAGGCAGTATGCCAGGGAGCCCATCAAGTCTCCAGTATAGTTAAAATGGCGGGCCATACCCCAGAATCCTGAAACCAACAATTTACTGTAGTGTTTAGTTCCATCGGCTGATGTGTAGGTACATTCAATATATTTGGGTTTCTTGCCCCATATTTTGCAGTTGCCATCAGTGCTACGGAAGAGATCTTTCTGATGATTGGTCATTCTGAAAATATAGTAGCCCACCAAACCCAGCAGAAGAATTCCAACTGCGTAACTGGTAGTAAGCTGGACAGGATGATAGACCAAGTACAACCCCTGAGGTAAAAAAGAGAATGAAAAAAAATTGGTAACATATTGTCAGATTTAGTCAGCACTCTTTATTTTCCTTTACATTGTCTGGGTACTTGCTTGATTAAGTCCTATCGCCTCAGTGCCAACTCTTAACACATAGACTTTCTCCACAATATCTATCCTCATCCACAAAGCAATTCAAAGCATTGATTTTAACCTTTAGGGCCCTGTGTGTCTTCGGAACCCTAAAGGACCCTTATCCCTTATCCCGCCATCCAAGCTTTATCATCTACCGGTAGTAAGTGTCTTTTCCAGGATCTCTGACGAAAGGACATGAAGTGAGGTTCTATGAAGGGGAGGGGTTTCCCCCCCTTGTGGTGGCACTTCATTTATAGAATTTCTGCCCCAGAGAGGCTCAACTGGCATCCACAATATCATCCTTTTAATGTTAGGTGAAGACCATTTTATTTCCCCAGGATTTTAACTGGCTTTTCAGTACCAGGCTTTTAGTTTATATGATGTTTTTATTTTGTATTTTGGTATTATCATACATGTTTTTAGGTTGTATTTTTGTGTGTTTTATTGTAAATTGTCCAGAGAGTTTTGGCTATTTTAATGAAAAAAAAGTACAGTTGCAACTTGCAATAATGGACAGGCAGATAGAGCAAAACCTCCATTCATAGCCAGAGCAAGGATTACTCCCCTTCCCTTGCCTTGGTCTCACAGCTGCTAAAGAATCCAAAGTTTAGGAAAGCAAATTTCAAACAGGCCACATCCCT